ATTGTTGTTTGGCGGGTCCGGGCTGGGGATTCGAACCCGCCACCTTAGGTGTACGTGGCTGGCGCCTTAGCCGGTTGAGCTATAGGCACCGAGTCTCAAATTAAGGCTTTTAACTCTATGACTAGACACCATACTGTAAACACAGTATCTGATTTTTTTTTTTTTGGTTGCAGCTGTCGTTGTTTGGTGGGCCTTGACTGGATTCAAACCCGCCAGCTCAGGTATATACGGCTAGAGCCTTAGCCTCTTAAGCCACAGGCGCCGAGCCCATAGTATCTGATTTAATCATAGTCTGAAAAGATTTTAGGCCACCAACCTGCCTAAACTGTCCTTCTGAGACACCATCCCGGTAAAAGATGATACGAGTAGGTTTGAAGCGAGTTGATTTATAAAATTGAATGAGAAGTTCCCGAACCATAGAGGCCAAGTCCTGAATGATCTCCTGTCGGGGTCTCTGAACTCTTACTGTGGCACAGTATCTGCTCGGATGGGCATCCATACTACCTACAACCTAGGTTAGAAAAAGTAAAGAAAGAAATTAAGATAATCAAAACTACATGGATTTAATTTACATTTTAATTTTATTATAACCTTACAGTTTATCACTGTTTATGTTGAGAGTAATAAAAATAAGTAATTCCCAGTGAAGAACACAATAAAAGAGTCAGTATAGGATCAAAAACTATTTTCCTAAACTAATACAAAGTAGGCTGAACTTTGTATTTAACAATTAGATTCTATGTGTTGTTGGTAGACTTAAAGATCAGTGAGAAAAAAAAGACAAAAACAGTACATAACGATAATAAGAGAAAGAAAATAAGTAAAAACTCAAACCACTGATTTCTCTGCATCTCTTTTCCACTGGTGGGTTGTTTGAGCTCTGGCATTCAAGACCACCCTGAACAAGAGAGAGACCCCATCTCTACTAAAAATAGAAAAACCAGCCAGGCATTGCCCATAGCTCAGGGGGTAGGGCAGTGGCCCCACACACCAGAGGTGGCGGGTTCAAACCCAGTCCTGGCCAAAAACTGCAAAAAAACCCAAAAAACAAAAAACA